AAGGAGACTTTTGGGCTTAAATGGCCACTGGGCCCGACCCGGTAACTCTACCTTCCTCTCTTTCCCATTTTTCTGCCCATTTCAATCTCTGCTCTCTTGTCGTCACCACCGTTTGGCGTTTAGTGAGCTATTATTTTTTACTTTAATATAATTTTCCAAAAAATAATATATTTCATTAATTAATACATAGGTGTCGAATCTCCCATAAATATTTTTGTTAAGACATCAATTTAAGAGATCTTCAACAATACCCATATAAATGAAGAGCATATTTATTAATTTTTAAATATAAAAAATATATTTTTATTACTTTTTTTCAAAACATTAATATTTACAACTAATTTATTAGAAATATTCATTTCCTGTGAATCATGCATAGAGCCATAGATCACTCTTCTATACTTGATTGTGAAAATTCTAAATTATCAATCCATGGGTAACCCGGCAATAAAGGCAAACTAAATGATTGTCCATGACTTCAATTCATAATTTAGTTCTTTATCATTTGCAAAGATAATACATTTATTTATGATTTACTTAGAATTTAGTGAACAGAAAAAATAAAATAAAATCAGAATTACAGTTCAATGTATATAATTTATTTTACTACAATAACTAATAATAATGCATATTTAAACTTCATTTATAACAAGAACATTTTTTTTTTTTTTTAATTTGCTTCACATTTGATAAATATTATACACTACTTAATAACCCAAAGCCAAAGTGACCTTTTATTTTGAAGCGGACCAAAATTATGATATTTGAAATAATTGGCATTGGGTGTGTTTGGTTGGAGGTAAAATTACTAAGGTAAAGTTATCTTATATTATTTAATTACCATGCTTGGTTATCAAGTAATATAAGATTCTGGTAATCTTCCAAAACCAATAATAATTATTATCAGTAATATAGGTAGTAATCTGATTACCTCTATTTTCTCATATATTTTAAGATTATTTGGTAATCTTAATTTTGTTACAATTTTAACATTTATTAATAAAATTTTAAGACAGTACTACCCTTGTTATCTGAAAAATTTACAAGAAATTTATGGACAATTTTAACCTCAAATTCAAGATTTTTACGACAAAACCACCCTTGTACTCCAACCAAACTACCCAAGTCCACAACCACCCCCAGCCACCACCCCAACCACTCAAGGCTGCCACCGACTGTCAGCCACCACCGCCTGTAGTCACTAGAATGGTGCACGGTGGGTCGAATCCGGCTGGCCATGCTCTAGTAAGGTCGTTTTTGGTCATGGATCACGAATCCATGGCCAAAAACAGCCAGATTTGGCTGTTCCGATCCATGGTCGGAAATGGCTTTGCCCCATTCTAGCGACTTCCAGCGACGGCTGACGGTAGTGGCTAGCTACTGGCAGTGGCTTGGGGTGATTTTGTTACAAATTAAAGTTTTATATGATTGAGGTGTTTTAGCAAAATTTCGAATGTAGAATGTTAAAAGAAATGATTCAAAAAATAATATTATATTAATATTTTAAAAGGAGGATAATTTAGTAATCTATATAATATACCCATCTATTTATCCTCATAACCAAACCAATAATGTTACGGACACCGGGACCGTGCACCTAATTCTTACACCGAATTACATGTCATGCGACTCAGACTAGCCACGTATCCTGTTAACAAATATTTTGCGTGCAAACGGCGGTTCATCAACTATAGACGGTTTGTTCACTGTTATTGGACGAGAGTCCATTATATGTGGACGCCCGTCCATGCGAAATGAACGATGGACTCCTGTCCATATTATATGGATGGGGGTTATGGACAGGGGTTCACATATAATAGACGCATGTCCATACTTTAAAAAAAAATAAAATTATATATAAAATGTAGGGACGCCCGTTCATCAGTTATGGACGGTCGTCCCTGAATTTTGGACCCTCGTCCACATATAATGGACACCCGTCTATACTTTAAAAAAATAAAATTGTATATAAAATTAAGGAACGCCTGTTCATCAGTTATGGATGACTGTCCCTAAATTTTGGACGGGCGTTCACATATAATGGACACCCGTCCATACTGTAAAGTTTTAAAAAAAATTTATGGACGGGCGTCCCTCACAGCTTAAATTGAACAAACGGGCTCTTGAGGTACTCTGTTTTAATCAGTTTTGCTTGCTTTTGAATATATTTGTGCGGAAACTTATAAGAGTGATGCTACAGCCACTGATGGTAGTGCATCGAATTTGTGCACCAAATGACGTGGCAAAATCATGACCGTTGATTAATACTAAGTTAAAGTTAATCAATGGTCAGGATTTTACCACGTCATTCGGTGCAAAAATTCGGTGCACTATCGTCGGTGGCTGTATTATTTTCCAACCTATAAAGCAATGAACGTGTTTGTTTAAACAATAATGCTACGGACACCGAAAAAACTGTACCGAAATTGTATACCGGCCTACGTGTAACACGCTTTTGATTTTTTAACAATTGTTTTCTAGTGAACGGTCGTCCACCAAATTTGGACGACCGTTCACTCACATGGACTCCCGTCCATATTATATGGACGGGGGTCCATATACTAGGGACGGGTGTCCCTAATTAAAGGACGCCCGTCCATAAGTAAAATGGAATAAATTTTTTTATAAAAATTAGGGACGGCCGTTCATCCATTATGGACGGCCGTCCCTTCATTTTGGACGGGCGTCCGTAAATAAGGGAAGCCCGTCCTTAACCAAAATATGAAAATAAAAAAGAAAAAAATTTGGGGACGGCCGTCCCTTAAATTTGGCCAGGCATCCATTAGGAATGGACGGCCGTTTTGGACGGCCGTCCATTCCTAATGGACGCCCGTCCATACTTAAAAAAAAAAAAAAAAAAAAAAAAAAAAAGAAAAAAACATTCTAAATAGCTTTCTTCTTTGCTCTTCTTCTTCGTCTTCATTCACTGTGTTTTTTTCATATTTATCGCACCTTCTTCACTTGCCTCCATGGAAACTTTATTGCATCCTTCTGAAGTTTTGGACACTTTGTGCTAGTGGCTATTGTGCGCTGGGCTGCCATGGGAGTTGCACGCACAACAAGCAGATTGACCGTACTGTGCATGGGAATTTTTCAAACTTACCATGTAATTGTGTTTCCTGAAACAAATTAACTCTTCTGTGCTTTCCACCAAGTATGCTTTTTATCTCTAGTTCTTTTGCTTACAGTACAACATGTTTTTCTGCTCATCTTTCAGCAGCATATGTATTGCCCAGTCGTGAAGCCCTGTGTTTAGGAGATAGGGTCATAATGTATCTTCCACGTTGTGCAGACACTATTTCTGAAGTTAGAAAACTTTCTGCTCAGGTATGAATTTTATAGGTAGTTGGTAGTTTCTCCTATGGTTCAATACTTGCAAGTCTTTTACATAAAGTTTAGTAGCTCTCCAAATATTTTACTCAGAAATTTATTGTCCCTCAATTTTTATTTTGGTAGATTCTTGATCAACTCTTTAGCATCTCTCTTTCACTTCCAAGGCCTGTTGGTTCAAGAGTTTTGCACCAAAAATTTTCAGGTAGTTTTAAACACAGTGAATGAAGATGAATACATTATTCGTCTTCATTCACTGTGTTTTTTTTGGGGAGGCAAGAGTTTAAGATTTTCTGGGAAGTCAGTAGCGATGAAGAGAATAAGGATAAGCCACAGAACTTCAACCAGGATGCAAACGTATTATACTGGCTGAAGGACGTCAAAAAGTTGGCTGATGATGTGCAGGAGATACTGCATGAGATTGCTATCACTGGAAAAAGTTCACAAAAACGTAAGTAATGGATGGGCGTCCATTCCTTACGGACGCCTGTCCCATCCAAAGTTTTTCTTTAATTTGTAGAAACCAAAATAATGGACATTCCCGTCCAAACATTTTTTTTTTTTTAAAGTATGGACGAGCGTCCATTCCGTCCAAACGGGACGGCCGTCCATAATTTATGGACGGCCGTCCCCAAAGTTTTTTTTTATTATTTTCATAATTTATTTATGGACGGGCGTCTTTTAAATGGGGACGCCCGTCTCTTGTATATGGACGCCCATCCATATAATATGGACGGGCGTTCATGTGAGTGAATGACCGTCCATATAATATGGGCGGGCGTCCATGTGAGTGAATGGCCATCCAAATTTGATGGACGGCCGTTCACTAGAAAAAAATTATAAAAAAAATGAGAGGCGTGTTACACGTAGGCTGGTACACGATTTCGGTATAACTTTTTCAGTGTTCGTAGCATTATTGTTGTTTAAATGTTTGACTGAATTCTTTTAGGTGCAATCAAATGTTTGACTAAATTCTCCACGATGTACGTTATTTGGATTATTTATTTTCAAAAATTGTCATAAATTTAATGAAATTTTAATAATGGACACCCGTCCAGGGATAATAGACACCCGTCCAGGAATAATGGACAGGCATCCATAATTTTTTTTAAACTTTACAGTATGGACAGGTGTCCATTATATGTGAACAGGGTCTAAAATTCAGGGATGACCATCCATAACTGATGAACGGTTGTCCCTGCATTTTATATACAATTTTTTTTTTTAAAGTATAGACGGGCGTCCATTATATGTGGACCCCCGTCCATAGTAAATGGACTCTGGTCTATATAATATGGATGGGAGTCCATCGTTCATTTCGAATAGACAAGCATCCACATATAATAGACTCCTATCTAATAACAGTGAACGACCGTCCATAGTTGATGAACAACTATTCGCTCGTAAAATATTTGTTAATAGGATACGTGACTGGTCTAAGTCACATGACACGTAATTCAGTGTAAGAATTTGGTAAATAGTCCTAGTGTCCGTAGCATTATTGTAACCAAACATGTCAACATAACACGAATATATTCACTAATTTATCATAATCTAACCAAACACATTTTCCCAATTACTACTAGCGATGTTAAGGAAACCGATTTTTCTAAAGTAATTAACTGAAACAACAGGGATGAAAAAGAATTATCTCATTAATTAATTTTTAATTTGACGAGTGAAGTATTCAGTAATGAAACACTCTGCTCTCTTATTCCCGTTTCTGCGCTAAACACAAAGCAAAATCCAGAAACAGAAAACAGAAAACAGAAGCAGAAGAAACGAGTAGAGAGAACATGAGGCAAGAAGAGATGGTAACACCAGGAGAGGTATTGGGTAAAGCTACAGAAGTCAAGGCAGGAAAGGGAACCTACGTCGCCAAACACAACGGCTTCGTCTACGCTTCCCTCACTGGTCTTCTCCGTACTGTATCCCCTCCTCCTGAATCTCCAGACCAGGAAACCAAACTTAACTGTGTTTCTGCGTTCACTGTCTTGTTAATTAGTCTGTTTTTATGCTTTGGGATTTTGATTTTTTAGGGTTTTAGGAGTTGGGCTGCTTATAAGATTTTGAAAACTGAATAAAAAAATAAAAATTAAGTTTTTGTTTTAACTATTAATTACGGTTTTTTTTTTTTTTGTTTTTGGTGGGAGAATGTAATTAAGATGTGGTTTTGGGTTTAAGTGATTGGTTACTGGGAAAATGTAGGGAAAGTGAAAATGAACCGGGAAGTTTGAGTATTTTACATTAGGACGGAAAGGAAAAATTAAATGAGTGATTTTATACGTGGGATTAAGGGTGTGTGCTTCTTCGCAATGGCTAGTCGAGTTTAGGGTTTTAAAGTTTTTAGTTGTTTTGTGGTAAAGAAACATATGATTTATTATGTTTAAATTTTGCTTCTTGAAAAAACTAATAACTGGAGATAGGGACTTATGTCATGCTTATGTATTGAAAACTTGGCGAAATATAAGAAGTTTGTTTGTGGTGCTGGATGTGAGCAGTTGAGCTTCCATTTTCATAAAGTATTCCTTCATTTCCCCCTTTCTATAAAAATCAAAATAAAGCATTAGCATTTGGAAATGTGTAATTTTACCATTCATTTCTAATTAAACAGTTCTAATTGATCTTGGAAGAAATTCTTTAATTAATGGATAATGGTGGTTGTTCTAGTAGTTTTTTGTTGATCCCCATTTAAGCGTCTATAAAAGCTTTCATGTAAAATCTTCTTTTATATGTTAGTTCATTTTGTGCCCTTATGAACTGATCTCCACATAATCATTTATGCGACCAACAGTGGAAGTTACAGGTCACAAAGCCCATGGTGCTGTCCCAGAGCCTGGTTCCGTTGTAATTGCCCGTGTAAGTTTACCAGTTATATAATTACCATTTATACTTATATTAAACTTTGTTACCAAAATTGTATTTTGTCAGGTCATTGCTTCAAAATAGTATTTCTGAAATTCATATGTTCATTTGGTGTGCTTCTCTTATTCATATTTCTAATTGGCCCTCTTAGATCCTTGTTCAGGGTGTTATCTCAGTTGTGCTGTGTATCAATGTTTCATGCTCGTTTGAGTTGGACCTTTTTTATCTTCTAAAAAGTTAAAGATTTGGATTCAGTATGATTTAAGGTTGTGAAGTTGCTTCTTTGTGTGTTGTGTGTACATTGAAAAATATCTTTACTCTTCAAGCCTTTCATATTTAAAATCATGCTCTAAATGGTCTTTGTGGTTATGTGATTTTTATTTTTTTTTTTATCTTTTTGAAAATTGCGTGTCTCATAACTACAATCACTCTTCTATTGTTGATAAACCTCATCTGTTTCTTTGTATAAGGTATTTAGATTTATGAAGAGTGATCTCATTTTGTTCCCATTATTATGATAGATTACTAAAGTGATGGCCAGGATGGCTTCGGCTGATATCATGTGTGTTGGCCCCAAGTCTGTGAGAGAGAAATTTACTGGCACAATCAGGTTTGTTATAATGTAATTTATTTTTCATGAGAATAGGGATATATCTATTTTGTATGTATCAAGTTAGTAATTTGCACAATGACATTGAATTATAGTCGTAATTAGTGTGGAACCAGTATCAGGTTCCATGTCGATTTCCTGCAGAGCTAATATTCTTGCCTCACTTATACCTTCAAAAACATATTCAGAAGCTCAAATGATTGATAGATTTTTATCATTTAGTCTAAATTCTGCTTAAAACTCAAATGCTTTTCATCTTAACAGGCAGCAAGATGTTAGAGCAACTGAGATTGACAAAGTGGATATGCATTTGTCATTTCGTCCTGGTGACATTGTCAGAGCTCTGGTTGTATCCTCTATGATTTTTGCACTCTTTTATTTTCTTCTTTCCTTTAAGGTTTGGCTGGTAGAGTGGTGTTTCTGATACTGATATGCCTAAATAATATATGATAGTTCAAGATACTAATCACGATTGAAGTGGATGAATTGAATAACCCACTATTGTAACATTGTATGTATGCTATTAATCATGAAATAGTGATTCTTGTAAAACTGTCACAAAATAATGTTATGGGAATGGAATATCGTCATTTTCATTGGGATATTGAAGGACAATGGCTGGATATGTAAGCGTTGAGATAGTTTTAAAACAGTTTGCTTTTGTTTCTAAATTTTACATTATTGCATTATTTGGTTATCTTTTTAATGTCACATTTTGTATAACAGTGGCTTGACAGTAGATCTGTTAGTTCTCTGAAAAATAAATAAATAAATGAAGATAAAAGAAGTCCTTAACGCAATCCCTTTGATAAGCTGTCCCTTGGAGATGCACGGGCTTATTTCCTTTCTACTGCAAAAAACGAACTTGGTGTTGTTTCAGCGGAGAGTGCGGCAGGTATGTTTCTCATGTTTCAGAACTTGATTTAAACTCTTTGTGGCACCTCTTGCTAGATTTATATGTGGCAAATGCTGTTATTTGCAATGTATAAGTATGTTTAAGGTTTTCTGATTGATATTTACATGTTCCTTTCTTAGAATTAATTTATTATAAGAGTATATTTCACCATTTGCCTCATACAATTATTGTTCACTTTAGTCGTTATTTGTGTTTTTTATGTGAAGGAGGTTTAGAAACTGACTTTATAAACTAAAGTTTTGTTCTAACTTTTTGAAGCAGGGAAAGTTAAAAAAATAACAGTACATAAAAATTTTAATATTGAAATTGAATATGAATATGTATGATGCATCAACTTACCATGATGTTATGGTGGTTTGTTATAGGTGGAACAATGGTTCCGATAAGTTGGATGGAGATGCAATGCCCATTGACAGGACAAATCGAGCAAAGAAAGGTTGCTAAGAATGAGAGTTGACCGATAAAAAATGATTAAAGCTAAAAGTAATCTTAAATGTGCTTCATAAATTTTTTATAGAGTACACTTAGGAATTCATTGTCAGAAAATTTCTAGGTATTTTGTTGCTTTTGAGGTTTATTGTGCTGTTCAAAACCATTGTATATCAGGGTTTATGCATTTTTTTTTTTTTTTTTTTTTTCTCTTTGGGCAATTTCCCCCTCCTTTGGATAGTTCCCCATTAACTTTGCCGAACAATGTTGTGTTGTAGATTAATCAACCAATTAGATCACCGGTGGTTAATTTTTTGACCGATAGATAAGCAACTTGTGTTTCGATAAAGAGGAGATAAGAACTGTTATCCATTATGTAACGATTTAAATGTGTTCATTCTATTTATTTCCATTTTATAGTTATATTTACTTATACTCTAATTCCAAACTCCAAACTGAGACTTTGGAATTAATTCTTGGTTTAGTAAACATCGGCGCAAAAACGAAATCGAAGGTTTGCCGCTTAGAGCAAAAAGGATAATGATATGAATCTGCTGTTGAAATTGAAGAATTCTCTTTGATGGTGGTGTTGTGTTGTTCGAGCTTCCTGTTTGAAAAAGCTATGCACATGGTACTCAATGTTTATATTACCAAACAACTCCTCAACTTTAGATCCATAATCTACAACATGCAAGATGCAACCAATATATTATGGGTAATACTATTTGTACAAACTCTTTGTACAAAAAAAGTTTGTACAAACTTACGTGACACATCATGTGAGTGTCACGTGATATAAGGGCCCACATAATATTAATATGAGATTAAGTTACATAGGTTTAACTATCACATGACATGTTTTGTGGTGTGTCACGTAAGTTTATACAGACTCTCTTTGTACAAATAGCATTATCCATATACTATATAACCCCTTGGGCTTAAGATGTTTCAGTCCCATAGATCTCAAAGTAAATTTTTAGACTACATTTCCCTTAAAAAAAAAAAAAAAAAAAGAAAGATAAATGTTTGTTTACGGTTGATGTATACTTAAAAAAAAAAAAAAAAAAAAGAAAGATAAATGTTTGTTTACGGTTGATGTATACTTAAATTGTAAGCAAAAAATTGTAATTTTTAAAAGAAATGGATATGTTGGCTTGAGTTATTTTAGGGCAAATAATCCTATCTTACAAACTTTTTTATATGACTTCGACGTGGCAGTTCATAATAAGTCTCGTCTGTCTAATAATGAGTCTTATCTAGAGAAAATTCGTAAGATTGGGTTGTGAGCCAACTTTTAATGACATTTTTAATTCACTAAATCTTATAAGAGCATACCAACTTTTAGTTATGTTTTGGAGTAAACAGTTTTTTGCTATCCAAGGTTTGCTTTACTGACACTTTTCCACCTATAGTTAATATTTCGTTACTAACCAAAGTCGATTTTGACGACGAATTTTTTTTCTATCACCATAATTTGAACCTCCGGTATCCTTTGTACAAAATCTCTCTTACTCTGACATTGAACTTCTCACTAATTGTCGATCACTGCAAAGCTATAGATTCCTATTCTTAGCTGATTTTCGGTTGATTTGGACAGCTAATATTTAATCAATCACTATCATTTGGTTCATTGACTTCCACTCTATAAAAATCCTCCTACCGTGACTCTTGGTAGCTTGTTGAATGTTAACTGAAGAAGTAAAATGTATTTTGGATATTAATAGAGTATAATATTAGGTGGGAAAACGATATTTTGAAACTTTTTTGGAGAAAAAGTATCGTTAAGGCAAACCTTGGGTTAGAAAAAGTCGTTTACTCTATGGCTTTACGGGGGGGAGTTTATTAAAAAGACATTTGAAGTTTACATTTAATTAAAAGGCTATCAAGTTTTAAAGTGTTAACTAAATAGTCATATTATTGATTAAGGGTAATTAGTGCTTAATTAGGATTAATGAAGTATTATGTAATCTTTCAAAATTATACTATATTTCCACAAACCCGAAATTAACCTGAAATTGTTGCAAATAAACCCAAACACCTTCTTCTTCCTCCCGCCATTAACGCATCTCTACCTCTGCATCTTCTTCTCTTCTTCTTGGCTTCGTCTAC